GAACAACCTTCTTTCTATACTAATCTTAAAATTAAAACAACAGCAACAATTCTTGTCTAGGCAGGCAGGTCAGTGGAAAAGTGGTATATATTCAGTAGTCAGAAATTCTTATTACTTATATTGTTCTCAAAGAAAGATTTTGGGGATCTCTTTAGAAAACACAGGCCTAAATGTGGTTTAATTTTCATTTAAAATTTATTTTTAAGACTACAAAATGAAAGGAAGGACATTTTGTGTCAACAGTGAAAACTATATCCTTTGTCAAAGCGAAGTTCTGTACAGCTCTGCAAAAAAACTCATCTGAGAAAGTTGTTTCACTGCGGAAAATGGCATCTTCATGTCACACTGTTTCTGCTGATTACCACTGATGACAAACATCAGTGAATAATTCACTTGAAAGACAGATCTTGCCAGCCTTACTGTTGACAGGAAGGTTCTACATCCAGAAGAGGCTTTGAATGCAGGCTGGTGCCCTTTTGTCTCATACAACTGGCACAACTCTTTCCTGCAGTGTGATCCAATGAAAAACATATTCAAGTTTCAGCACTTCATAAAAAAGAACTGCTACTCTCTACAGTACTGTACAAACCAGATCTTCAGCTATCAAAGCTATTTAAATATTATGTAGATATTTTAAGAAGCCAAAGTATTTTTTGCTTCATAGACTGTCAGCTGCCTTGACTGTAAATATACTCCATAAGACCTATTTCTATAGTTTGAGCCCTAGATGATTTCCAGTTGCAGTTTTAAGTATCCCTTCACCTCTATGAGCAAGAGCCTCTATGTGTGTTGAAGATCTTTTTTACTCCAAACACACAGGTTTCTATTTGTCTCTGAAACCATGAAACACTGGTATAATAAGAAAATGTTTTTAAAAGTGAGACAAAAGCAGTAGGCCTGAATTCTCTGAACTTCATTTGCAGTTGGTAGCCCTTTGTTTGTAGTTAATCAATTTATTTGATAAGCAGAGTTTTGACTGGTTATGAGTACAATAACATGAAGTGACCCAATATTAGCTTTAAAAACTGTTAATTGCATTCATAGTTGCACGTTGAACATCTGCTGTGTTTAAGACTTCTGCCATTAATACATGAAGGAGAGGACATAATTATTTTCCTTTCCTAGGCACATTTTTTTTTTTAATGTCATGCCTTCACTGAAGCTGTTTCTCTCCTTAATTGTTGCCATACCACTGCTGTATTATATTTATAAATATATTTTTATACATATATATAATTATTTTCCTGCAAGCAAGGTATGTTGCACGAATACAATTCTATGTAGGTCTTATAGGATATGTACTATAATAACCATGAATTATGATTTTGTAGCAAAGAGCCACAACTGTGTCAGGCTTTACTTTCATGAAGGCTGTATTGAACACAAGATCACTGCCCATGCACAACTTCAATAAGAACATGAAGAGGCTCCACTGCTCTCTCCCCACTTCTGTTTTGAGATGATGTCTCATTGATGTCACGTCTTCACTGACCCCATATTTAGAAAGTCCTTAACCTCACAGGACCTTGGATGATTATTGTTACTGTAAATCTCATTTCTTAGATTTATAACCTTTAGATGTTTGTAGTATAAAAGAATGCTTACTCAACATGCTACATCATCCAGGATGGGATGGATCAAAGATGTGGTGACACCATTTAGCTCTAAGTTTTCACTTCACCTCAGTTCAGAGCTTATTGAAAATGTCTGTATCTAATGCCAATGTCTGTATCTATTTAGACGGCCAATAGGAATTTAATGATGATCACTGCCTGACCATTGTGCACTGATATGGGGGTTGATTTCAATTTCAGCAACAGAAAAAGTCCCAAAACATCATTATTTGCGAACTCTCCCTCTAATTCCTAGAAGGCCCACCCTGGCTTTTAGTCTGAACGCACTCTGAACACACTCCTCTAATGCCTATAAAAGCAGTCGTATTTTAGTCACACTCACCCTGAAAAGCCCCATTGTACTGTTCAACAAAGTCCTTTTGAAAGCTATCTATGACATGGAGTTTTTATAGGCAGAAATAGAAAAGAGACCTCAGATGGCATGTAGCCAGAAAACAGAATTTCACCTTCATACATTTGTGGTCCTCTGGTATTTCTAGGCACACACTTAAGAGCTTTCCCAAGATTTACCCAACAGCATCTCTCTGATCTTCCACAGTGACCATCATTTTGTCACATTCTGGCAAGACAGGGCAATCCTTCCCATATCTGACTAAGACTATCTCTAATCTGAAGTAAGCAAAAAGGAGACCAGCATATTGTACGTTACATCGTGCACAAGAGCTCCAGCCATGGGAAGTCCATAAATCCAGTAGGACATCCAGAGGGTTTGCACAGGTCATGTACATTGACAGATGCTCCTCTGCCTCTATTCAAGGGTTTCTGACTGCAAAAAGGAGATCAGACCATTATTTTCTTTATCTAAGCAAAGAAATTTTTCTACATACTTCTGGAAATTCTTGGGGAATGTCCCAGAACCTGCTCAAAGCCATGGAGAGCAACGGTAAAACTCCTATGGTGTTCAACAGAAGTAGTGCTTGGAAAGAAAAAAGGTTGTGGCCCTTCTGGCTGCTTCACATCAAATTCCTATCAATTTTACCTAATGCCTTCATACACAGGAGGAGAACTAGATGAGATCTGGCAGAAAAGTCTCTGCAGTACATTCCCTCTGCCAAGCAGTGCCTCTGTGAAACTTGACAAATCACATCACTCGGCTGTCTGCTAATTCCCTTCTACTCTTCCTCTGCTGAGGACAGAACGACTATTTCTTCTGTTCTTCTAGTTTTTCTTGCTACATTTGCTTAGACATCCTTTCTTTAGAGCAAAAACTATTTTTGATTGGTGTTCATGTGCTCAGAAGAATATTAGATACAGTAGTTTCTGAGGAGACTGAAGGTAAGTGTCTTAACAACTCTCCAGACTACACGGACTCCATCTAGTGCCACTGGAGACACATGAAGGAGCTCTAGATGCTGTCAGATAGGACCTATCATAGATCCTTACCTTCCTTGAGTAGCAGCTGAAGATCAACTGAGACACCCTGTGGCAATTTAAATGGCACTATTTGCTTGTGAAGGGAGACAACTACATCTAATCTGAGATCATTAGTGACTACAATGCGGTGAGACGTAACTTGTGTGCTGAAAGCTACATGAAGATCTAAATTTAGATTCCTGAATCCTGACCCAAGTCTCACTGTTGGTTTATCTTCAACAGTTTGGAATTGATGTGGGGTTACAGAAGATCAATGGTCTCCAATAGGTCTTGTATCACACCTGCTAGTTTCATGTAGAAGTCGTGGACATCATTGACAGGATAATTAAGTCTGGGATATGGAATATACTTTTATTGGGACATACTCCAGACCTGTAATGTCAGCTGTGGCATGCTCCTAAGTTCATTTCCTCCAGTGCTAGAATACTTGTTAGCCAAGATTCATTGTCAATTTTTGTTGCTGTACATTTAGACTGTTGATGCAGTCCTATATGCACAATGGAAATATTGTCAAGTCATTCTCTGAGGAAAACTGCAATGTGCTATTAGAATAATTTTCTTCTTTTAAATGGGACTTTTACAGTAACCATATTATTTCCTGTAAATTATCTGCAGAGTCATATGTCTTTAGGACACATACTAGCAAAAGTCAGGATTAATGATTCCCTGATATAACATAGTTCTTATCAACAACTGAAGACAAAAACACTGACAAAAATGTATTTTCCTCACATTTCCTGCATTATATTAAATTAGAAAATCAATGTAAGTCACCATGCCTGCCTGCAGTTTGTGAATGAATAAAATGTTAACTTTTAATTTTGAAGACTACTTTTGAGCAAATATCTGTGTGAAGCCACTAAAATACCTGGATACAAAGAAAAAAAAAAACACATGCAGAGCCCTTGCCCTTACTCAGAAATAAAAACAGCCCTCTTCAATGCTTCAACTCAGTCTTCTTAAATGTGTTACAGATACTGCTGAGCACGGACCTTCTGATCTTTAATAATCCTGAATGCTGCTTTTGACCTGCAGTTGCTTAAAAAATAAATCTGGTTATGATACAGTACCTGTGTTTTCTTAACTTAGCTGCCAAAGCACTGCTTTTCTTTGTGGTCAGGCCACATTACTAAGAACATATAAGAATGAGCTTGGTCTATAGGGAAGAACTACAAGAGGAGGTAAGGCAAACAATGCAAAGAAGATTTGAGATTGCAAGAATTAAACTTTGGGATGAGTAAAGAAAGCTCTGGAAGAAAATCATAGAAGAGGTGAAGAAGAAGCAAAAGGAGGCAAATTGGGAAAAAATGGTTTTGGAGAAAATGTAAACAGAAACAGTGAAGAGGAATGACTGCAAAAGAAGAGATGATGATGAAGGGATGAAAAACATCCTCTGAGAGGAGTGTTAGTAGAGAAGAGGAGGAGGAAGAAAAAATGCCTTTATATGAGACACTGATCTTATTTGAGTAAATAGAGTTGGTTAATGCTTTTCTGTTGCGGTTTGAGCCCCCCCCCCCCCGGGGGGGCTGGAAGTTGTTGGTTGAATCTCTAACTTCTGCACCCTTTTCAGACCACAGTTTGGTTAACCTAGCACTATTTTTGCTTTGACTAAGAGAATACCAACAAATCTTGTTGATTTAGATATTACTAGATAATGCTTAAGTAAGCTACTTTTTCTTAAAAGAAAGCTATGTAAAGCTTGACAACTTTAAGATTACATAGATGTAGAAAAACAGTATGTATAAAACTATTTCTGCCTCTGTTCTTTAAGATCATAAACAGTAATTAAATGGATTAAGAGGAAGCCATAATATCTGTGTGTGGGACGAGAGCAGAAGTGGCAAATTGCCAGCAGAAATCTAGACCTTTGGAGTACTCAATATGTGAGTAAGAGTTTCCTCAGCATGAGCCTTTTATTAGCCAACATTTCAGAGTATTATCCAAATTCCTGGCCTCTGTTTTGGCTCATGTGTAACAACGCTGTGCCCCTGGAGGTGAGGCGTGTCAGGAGACAAGAGCCTGAACTACAAATGTGCTGTGAATATTGCAGCCTCCACTGAGCCTGCAGGTAAGATACTTAAAATCACCACTAAATGCATGAAATGACTTAGCTATATGGCCAATTTTAACATGCTTTAGCCTGGCAGTTAAACATCTAAGCCTAACCATTATGGTCCAATATGTATAATATTGTCAAGTTGTCTACCTGCCACAGATTTTAACATACTTTTCTAAGCACTTTGATGATTTGAGTGCTGTAAGGAGATGACTGCAGAATCAGAGCTCTCACACCAAGCACTGGAAAGGCAGTGCACACACAAAAGCAAACTCAGCTCAAATACTGATGCAACTGCACATAGACGAATGCACTGGACATACATAGCATCTCCCATGCAGCGGTGTCTCCATTGCTGAATCATTAGTGTCTCTGTCCTAGTGCATGGAGATCGGTCTGACGCTGCTGTTGTTACCTTTCACATGTAATTTAATGCTAACACTGGTTTTGCTAAATATTAATTGGAAAAATATGTAGTTTGAATGAATATGGAAAAATCAGATTTGTACTACACATAGTATAGTACAAAGATTTCAGACATACGCGCAGCAGAGTTAACCAGGCTCTGACGATTTTTTTTATACATCTGTAACATTGCTAATAGCAAAAGGAAGCCCCAGACTCACTCCTTTGTGGAAAGGAAATCAGTTGAGAACCTGTTCCTAGTGTAAGTCTGGTGCACTAATTGTGAATCATTTTGAGAAGCTGCTCCTTGACAGCTTCATGCTGGGAAGTCTAAATTACTCTGTCCCACTTTTCTCAGAGGGAGAGAATCATTTGTGTAGGTCTTTCTACAGCTTGAATCCCAGCCTCCACAAAACAAAATGTGCTAAGTAAGGCAGCAGCATTTAGGAGCCTAACGAATGTGCATACACAAGTACTTGTAAACTGGCACTGGTAAGGAAGAGCGCATTATTCAATGTATCCTCTTTGAAAAAAAATCAATAAAATTCATATACGGTATGCTCATTGTAAAACGACATGTGCTGCATTTAATACTCACTGACGTGACACTTAACAAACAGTCTTGAACTGAGCTCTATTTGCATTTGATTTCTGTCACAGCTTGACAAAAAAGTCTGTTGCTTTCATCTGCTTTTTCTTTTTAACACTTCTAACCAAAGATGCACAGGTGTACCTTGCAGGCAGAATAAAAAGCAAAGTGCCCTTAAAGGGTCTCAAACCTCTTTCCCCATGTGTTTATAATGTACTGTAATGTTCAATCACTTGCGCAGCCAGCAGTAATAATAAAGGATAATTTTAAGAGCTATTGAATATTTTTTGAATTTTAATTAGATATATGTAGACAAAAGAGCAGGAAACACAGAATTGTCCCAACCTGGAACGAGGGAGCAGACTTTTAGTAGAAGTCCACAGGACACTGCAGTGGGAGCAAAAAAGGATCACACAACAAGAATAGAAGAAAATCTAAAAGACTAAAAGACCCAGACTGTAACAGGAGATTTGAGATAATCTGAACTCATGCTGTGACCAATCCCACATATCTCAGACATAAAAATAGGAGGTTTTCCCACATAGTGATGCCTTTTACAGATCTGCAGCAGATCCACACTGGGTGAGAGGGTACACTTCTAATAGACTCTAACATGTCTGTGCAAATAAGATCAAAGGTTTGACCTTTAGGTTTTGTGTTTTATCTTCAACATGTGAATATTTCCATAATTCTGGTGACTTAGAAAAAATGTGAAATGTTTAAAGCCCCTGCATTAATTTCTCCCATGCCAAAGTTCAGTCAATACTACAATAGTAGCACAATTGCATACAAACTAAATATGAGCAAGCAATGAATGGTTCAAAGGGTTGGACTTGATTATCTCGGAGGTCCCTTCCAACCCAGCTGATTCTATGATTCCATGGTTCTATGAAATGTTGACAAGGTTTCAACAGCCACTTCCTCTTGCTTGAGGAACTTCCTCTTGCTGCCTCAGAACTTTGATTCTTGCTGGTTTTATCCACCTCCTGGGTGCCCTTCCATGTGCTGACTTGCCAGAGTTCGGGCAAAACTACCCAGGGATTGCGAGGTTTTGGAACTGGATCAGAAATACTGCTAATGTTCCATAAATTAATCTTAAGTACTTCAGTGTAAAAAGTACCTGAACAGCAATGCCTAACTTTTTTACTCAGGTGAATTGATCCAATGTGGGAATTCAATGTATGTAGGAATATTATCTTTGCCTGCTTAGCTGTCAGAGATACCATCACTTTGGTTGAAGTGTGTGACCTTATCCTTTTTCCTCTTTTGCTGAGCAGAAGCCCTACCATTTCCTTAGGATGTGAATGATTCAGGTGGTCTCTGATGACTCAAAAAACCTACTAGTCACATTTAATTTATCTCCAAACTCACTTCAGGAACACTTTAATTGAAAGCTCAGTAAAAAGACGAGTGAGAGGTAAAAACAATGCTCTCCCTATGACAACATTATTACTATGACAGTTACTCAGAAAGCAAAGTCCTGATCTCCAGATATTGCTCACTTTGATGGGGTTTCCATTCATTGCTCCAAATGCCCAGAAAACCACTCCCGTCAGGCTACAATATATGTCCAAAAATTGCCCTCTCCTCTGGACTGCAGCATCAGCGCTGCTCAAACCTCCAGTCTCTCTGGTTAGGCAGGCCACCATTTCCTCCTCCTTTTCCCAATATCTTTCCTTAGGATCCGGAAATGTCATAGAAGTGATTGATGCAGCCCTGAGTCAGATAGTAAATTCCAAGACAGAATAACTGGGAGGGGAGGATACAGGACATAATCAGAGAAAGAAAAGCTGTGAGTTCAAATACTTTTTGGCAGTTCTTGGAACTACCAATCTCTGAATTAGCTTCCTGCACTAGGATGATAATCTGTCAGTTATAAGAAAAGTTAAGAGAGAGAGAGAGAGAGAGAGAGAATGAGAAGGATCCATCTTTTCTCCATGGAAAAGAAAAAGAGAAGGCTCTGGGAGGAACTTAATCACAGTACACCAGTACTTAAAGGATGGTTACAAAGAAGACAGTGTCTCTTCACAAGGAGCCACATGGAGAAGACAAGTGGCAGTGGATACAAGTTGCATCAGTAGAGGTTTCATCTTGACGTAAGAAAGAAATGTTTACAATGAAACCAGTCAGTCACTGGAATAATCTCTGCAGGGATGTGATGGAGTCTTCATCACTGGAGATTTTCAAGATGCAATGGGATAGGTTGCTAGACAACATCAACTAGGGTCCCTTTCCCATGAAAATTTGGACCAGATTATCTTTGTAGGTCCCTTAGAAACTGGGATGTTCTGTGATTCTATGATTGTTTACGTGTCCTGTGTAAAAACTCTGGGCATGACCACTGGATTTAGTTATCTGGCTCCTGATTTGGGTCACACATGAGATGAAATGTGATTTTTCATTCTAAATAGCATGGTAGCAGTCAGAAGAGGGACTCTTGAAGACAGGAAAAATAGTCAGTAAAAAAGTAAGGAATCTGGAAAGCCAGTTGGCATTTGGGATTTTTGGACCATATATTTGACCTCCAGTCCTTCTCTGAATGAGGTTTTGTCTATTTGAGATAGATGGTTACCTTAAAATACCACTCCCCAGCCCACCTGTTAAAACCTCTTAAACAGTATATGGTGGGTACTTCTCAGTCCCAATTCCTAGTTTTGCCAGTGGAGATGTTTCCGGAATAGAGACTGCAGAGTCAGTATGCTAATTTGAAGGGCTGGAAAAGAGTATTCGTTTTAACAGAAACTCGTTCCATTTCGTTACAGAAAATGAGACTCCATATGTACAGTAACTGAATTATTAAGTGGACAGATTATATGCCTGAGGACATATTTATTTGGCCTACAAAAAAATCTGTGCATTGTGTTGCAGTAGTTGAGTTCTGGCTAATATAAACACATGCCACACATTCCCCACTCTTTCCTTTAGCTTGGATTTTGATGTTTATTGCTTTAAACATAAGCATTCAGAAAACAGACACATGCTGTAGAGATTCATGAAAACACTTGGAAGATTTTTGCTGCCCAGTTTATCTAATCAGAGAACAGGGCTCATGTTTGACGTGCCTCCTGGGCTCTGGTTCCCCCGTAAATTCATGAATTTAAACATGTGGCCATACCAGCTGGGGACAGTGGAACTAGCAACAGACATTAAGGTGGGCACAGGTTTTAATTCATTGAGGAATTAAGTCCCCAGCTATCAGATGAGTGCTTCAAATTCTGCAGCTTTCTGAATTCACACATTTTACCTTCTAAACATTCATGTATAAAATAACTTTTTACAGCCTGTGTTAATTTCAAATTATGAATATCAAAAGTAGAAAAACGCCTCTGTAATTTATGTAATATTTATTTAAACCATTAAAAGAGAATTTGCTAACAGCAAGAAAAGCTAACAGATATTACTACTCAAGGGTTTTTAGCAGATATGAAGCCTTCTTCATAAAAGAGTTATGGAAGACATTCAGAATTTGTAATTATCGAGTTTCAGTTTTAAATTCTTCTGCTTCTTTTATGTACAGATATAGCAATTTGCTGGTCCGAGCTGAAATGTGTTTTCATTGTAAGGTTTCAGTGAAAAAAAACTTTGTCTGTTTCTTAATTAGAGATAAGATTTCCCTTATTCTGCAAGTTTTCTCTATAGCAGGAATGTAATTTTTATCCAGCCTGTTTCTTGTCTTTGTTTCCCCCAGTTTATCTTGAGTTTTCAAAGGCAATCTTAATATATTTTTATTAATTTTATTTGATTTAACCAACACCCTGCAAAAAAAAAAAGGAAGAATAAAAGAATGAAATAGCTGCAAATCTAAAGACCCTATTGAAAACTTGCTTTCTAGAAACTTTGTGTTGATCAGGAACATTAGAGTGTTGCAATTGGGTTAAATTGCATAAAGATAAAAGTTTAGAACAATTCCGTGTTTTTTTAAAAGGACCTAAACCAATTAGCATCCACAAAGGGTAACCTGTCTCCGGGATCTGAATGCATCTAGGTCACCTTTGGGAATATATACTGCACAAATATTACCTGCAAATTCATATTTTGTGAAAACATAATAACTTTCAGATGAGAGAACTTGAGTGTAGTCTGTTGACATTTTGCTGTTTATCTCTCTAGATGCTTGTGGCCAACCAAGGTACCTGTTATGTATATATATGTTTGTATATAAAAATATGTACGCACCCCTTATCTCCCCCAATGCATGCATGTGTTTATGGGTATGTAGACTGAGACATATCACTGATTCAGACTGGCATGTGGATCTGACATCACCATGCCCTGAGCGCTCTCCAGCTCCCAGCTGGTGTTCATTCGTCCTGAGCCCTGACCATATGTCAGGGTAATATTGAGGCATACACTCTCCTTCTCCTTGCCCTCTATGCCTCAGTTGCTGCAGGAGGCGGCCACAGGGCCATCTCCCTGTCTGGGAGCTTGTGTGATGTGGGACCTGCATGTCAGATGTAGACACTGGAATACAGGGGTTGCATCTGTGCTGTTAAAGAGAAGAGGGAGGGCACATGGGCAATCTCAAGACCAGGACCCCTGCCACTGCTTAGTTTTAGTTTTCTCCCAGACTCTTAGTCCTTAGGGTTAAGACCATAGCCAATCTGAAACCACTGTGTCCCAATGTGATCCAAAGATCAGTACCTAGTCTGTTCTTATTCAGCAGTGCAGACATACTCATTAGTCAGGCAGGAGTAGAGGAGCTCAGAGAGCTAGAAGTTATGGTGATCACAGGATCCAGTGAGCCACAGGTGGGGACATATCAGGGTTGCCTTGGAAGCAGGAGCAACAAGCTTTTGAGGGTTCTGGGAGAGGCATATGGTCACAATGAAGCACTGAGGAAGCAGAAAGGGAGGAAAGGTCAGGAACATGCTACTGGGTTCATGGCTCAAGGAGAATAGGAAGGGCAAGAGGAAGAGAGAAAGGTAAGAGCCCTGGTTGCAGGAACATTTGAAGCAAAAGGAACTTGAAACTTTGAGGACCAAGTCTGACTACTCCCTTACAGCAATGGCTATTTATTAGAATACATATAGCAATGAATATTTATTAGAAAGGAGAATTTTCAAAAGGTTAGTGCATATGAAAAATTCTGCCAATGCAGCCTAAGAATTGTTTTTAATAACAGGGCTGGAAGTGGCTGAAATAAATAGAGTGTGTTGGATATCCAGTCTGTAAAGCAGTCAATATGATGAAAAAAGAAGTTCAGTCACAGAATCACAGAATCAACCTAGTTGGAAAAGACCTCTGAGATCATCAAGTCCAACTCATGACCCAACACCACCCTGTCAACTAGACCATGGCATTAAGTGCCACATCCTGTCTCTTCTTAAATACCTCCAGGGATGGTGACTCCACCACCTCCCCGGGCAGCCCATTCCAACATCTGATCACTCTCTCTGTAAGGAATTTCTTTCTAATGTCTAACCTAAACCTCCCCTGGCACAGCTTAAGATCGTTCCCTCTTGTCCTACTTCTGGTTGCCTGGGAGAAGAGATCGCCTCCCACCTTGATCCAACCTCCTTTCCAGTAGTTGTGGAGAGTGATGAGGTCTCTCCTGAGCCTCCTCTTCTCCAGGCTAAACAGCCCCAGCTCCCTCAGCTGCTCTTCATAGGGCCTGTGCTCCAGTCCCTTCACCAAGAGTGCCAGACTTTAGAACAAGAGCTGCTATGGCCTGTCTCCAGCCCTATATACCTGTAATTATCCAGCTACCTTGCAGCCTTAAAATACAAACTGAAAGGTCTACTTCCTGATGCAATGCACCTGATCTTTTTCTTTCTTCATTTATCCTACTTGTCAGAAGCAAACAAAATTACTGTAACTGCTAGATCAAAACTGAATAGCAGAACTAACCTTCTCTGCTGATGAAGGCTGAATTAGTAAAATAGCTTGATTGACGAGAGAGTTCTGTGGATACCTTCCATTTTTGAAAATGGACTTTGATTAAAAAAATGGTTTGTTTTGATTCCACTCTTACTGAAATTATTTTTTTGGATTATTTTAGTCCCATTTTTGTCTCAGTTTAATCAATAGCTTTCCAATATTTGTGCAAATTTTCCAGTTTGCTTCCAAAGTGGCTGAACAGGTTGGTTTTTCTGCACTTGAAATAGGAGATTTCAATGGTTTTAACTGTACAGTGCTAAGCACAAAAAAATTTTTTTCTTTTGGCTAATGAAATCAAAAGCAAAAAACTACATAAGAAGGTGATCTTTAAAATATATTTAGAGAAAGGTGTTTTTTGAATCAATCCTTAAATCCAGAAGGGTTTGAATGAAATCATGGCCCATTGATCTCATCAGTTTTGGAAGATTTTAGTGGGCCATTTTGGCATTCAAAACCAAAACCAAACTCCTAAATATTCTAGGACAAATACATAATAGTTCACTACAACCAGAGCACCTGATCAGTAGTTCTGCTTTGAGTAAGAGACTGGACTAGATGCCTCTTCCTTTCCAGGCTAAAATTTTATTTCAGTCTGTGAGTTTATCTACATATTTCACTCTTCTCCTCTAAATGTAAAAGACTGAGCAAGACAAGTAGTGGCAACAAATGTCAAAGATATGAAAGAAAACTGACAGCTGATCATGCAAAAGAGACCTATTACTTTTCATCTATCTCTCTCTTAGCTTTAGGGAATGGGGAGGGATAACTGACTCATATATCATTAAAAAGTCCTTATATGGAGAAAATATGTTCAAAATTAAAATCTATAATATTGTGCATTGTATTAAGATGTCTGCATAATTAGACTGTATTTTGCAGGATACGTTTTTCATTTAAAAGCCTGGTCTGGGATACATTCATATGTAATTTCAAAGAGGCAATTAGTATCAACAGAATGAATTAGTTCCTAAGCCAATAATCATTACAAATTCCAAGAGATATTTTTAGATATTATAGCCTGCACACACACTTCATATTATGGTAGCACACAGGAGGGTACGAACATCCCTGGATTTCTCTTTTATCTATATACTTTACCTATGTACATTATCTATATTCATATATGTATATTCTAGTTCTCACTGCAACTAAAGAAGGTCTTGGAATTCACCTTAAGGGTACCTGAGTCTAACTGCATCTGGATAAGAACATATAACTCATAAAAGTTCAGGATAACAACTCGCTCAAATAAAGCATGAAATAATTCACAGAATGCAGGACCAAACTGAAAGCTTACTGTTTTAGTTGAATTTCATTCCAAGCCCACGCAGCACATGAGCATCCTTATGCAAAGACACTCAGACACAAATTCATTCTGTTGAAAAGTGATTACTTGAGGTGTCAAAGGCAAATAGTCACCCCAGAGTTCATTTGTAGTCAATAGTGAAGGAACTATAACTGCAGCTTGCCTCATCACCACTTGAGAAACCTGTCAATTACGAGGAGTAAAGAATGGTCATGTTTTTAATTTTACTGCTTCACTTCAGGTTTCAGTAAATGGCCTCTTTAATATTCCATAAATCTACATAAAATGTGCAGGTATTTTCTATTCAAAACACAGAAGCTGAGGTTAACGAGGCTGCAGAATACTTATATGATGCATTCTCATATATTTCTAAATACTCCATATTGAGAGACCAGCTTGTGACTTGCACAGGGTTGTTTTAATTTTCACAAATAGTTCTGATTATACCTTACATAGTCAGCATTATCAAATATAGTAATGAAATTTACCTCAGTATTTAACATGACTCATTCCCTCAACAAATTTTGTGTGAGAAAATATATTATTATACTCATTGTACAAAGAAGAAATGCTTCAATTCTGGAAGAAGAAATAACACAGGGCACTGAACTTGTGTTGTTAACCCAAGTGACTCTTTACATCACCTTCCCTGTATGCTAACAGAAAGAAATTTGTTTAATTTTATGCATTAGTATATGCCATCGTCAATCTTACTTTCCTCTAAAAGTCAAATCTTCTACTTGTTACATCACAGGTGATTGCTATGGGAATTACTATGATGAAAATAATTTAGGGTGAAAGGCAGATGAATTCTTAAGAAGTAACTATACTTTCATGCAACAGTAATATTGTCATGTCCCTAATGATAAAAATGATAGAAGAAAAACCAAAAGATACATGACACCCAGACAAAGTGTTTTTAACTAGAACATTTTTCAAAGTTTTCCAGATGACATCAATTGCTTTTTAAGCAAATTGTTTTGTACAGAACTCTAGTGGGAGAATTACAAAACTCCCCTCTTCAGCCTACAATTAGATTAATCAGGTAACTGAGGGCTTGAATCTGTGCACATTCTTATTCAACAAGAATATCATTCCTCATCAGTTTTCTGCAAGAAAAAAGCTGCATGAATGTGATTTGTACACAAACACTTATGTTGTAGTTGCTCCTTACTGCCAAATTCTCTCTTTTCTGAAGAGTAATATTTTATCTCCTTGTCTTGAAAAAAAAGAAATACCTCTTAATAAATTTTAAAAAAATTAAAAATAAGTTTAAAAAAAAGTGTTTGTGGCGAAAGGTATTGGTATAGGAAATTGAAAGCCAGTTAATCAGATTATCTGGACATTTCCCTGATACACTGATAACTTTGTATAAAAAAGTTATAACTTTGCGGTAGTTTAATTTACATGGAAAGTAATGATGATGGTGTTTTTGTATCTAACATATAGTTCTGTTGTCATGATGGGTTTTTCCTTGTTTATATAACTTTGAGTAAAAATAGCTACAATTTAAGGATATGTGTTAGGTCATCTACAGTCTTCCTCTTACAATGACAAAATTAGACACAGTACTATCTGACTAACAGAGATAGAACTTGGAATAAATGAGAATGAACTGACAACTTCCCTGTCTTTGTGCCTTACAGCCATTGGGAACTTGAGGCTCCCACACACGTCAGAAGTGGGTCAGAAGTGGACCCATACCAGGTGAAGATGTGCTGTGGTGGTGATTACAGCTCTTGCTGCTCTTCTGTCTTGCCATCTCCTTTTCCCTGACTCTCAGAAAGAATAATAAACAACAACCACAAAGAGGGAAGTTTTTGAACGTTTCTTTAAAGCAATGGCACCGTTCTCCCTTAGAAGGAGGAAGCGTTCCTCCTGGATTTGTCACATCTTTAACAGGGGTAATGTCCCTTTTCTAGACATTTCTAGTTGGGAGGTATGTTTTAATGTAACAAATTGAGCATACACTCAGAGCTCAGTGCATATAGGATACTTCTGGTCTAAACAGCAGTTATGTATGCTGAAAGGGGATTGCAATCACAGTTTTGCACTTAGATATCTTGGGCCTGCCTATATCCATGTCTGGGTCTAGATGCTTTATAAACTCTTGATATTAGAAGGAAATTTGGCACCTGTTGAAAAAACTGAGAGTATTTTAGCCACCTTAAACTGGGCTGTAATAGCACCCTTCAAATTCAGTGGATGGGGAGGAGGAAGAGGCTTTGCATATTATAATCCTGTACACTAACTGGCACAACTGGTTTTTATTCCGACTGTGAACTCTAAGCAGGGCTGGAATACAAATAACAATAGTAGTGAAAAAGTTAAGTGAGAATTATCAAATAATTTAATGATTGTATCAGGCTCTTACATTTATAATGGTTTGTATTGTGTCTATGAAATTAGGGTAAAATAAATCAATCTGGTGCATACCACCTAGTCTTTCTGCGAGAATAGGGGATTACTTCTGAAATTATTATGCTATAAAAATGCTATATAACCTCAGGAGAAGGTTTCATTGATAGTGCTTAGTATTATCAGTATTATCAACTCACGCTTCTTCAGTCGCAGGAGTTACACAGTTAATCTCTTTCAAATTACATGAAATACGTGAGGAATAACTCATTCTAAAAAATGAACTGAGCTGATTTGAATCTGCAGGGTAGATGTCTTCCTCATTTTTTACTAGTCAATTCTTTGATAACTGCTTAGGCAATCAGGAACTCTCTTACCTGCCTAGTTCATATTGCCATTTGTTACCCCTCCTTTACCTTTAACGAATCCATATATTGATTCCTAAACTACTGGAGATGATTGATCTTATATATTTTTACATCAATAAAACAGCCAGATCTAAGTTTGCCAATGGAGACAGAAACAGATACGCTAAGCATAGAGAAGTTTAACTTTTAAGGCAGTCTTGCATTTCTTCCATACTCTAGCAACTGTAAAAACTGGGTTAGTGGATAAATAGCATTTGCTTCTTTTATTTCCACTTGCATCTCCTGTAAAATATAACCCAGCAGGCACACTCTTTAAATACTTTCTAGATAGGGTGTCTTAAGAAACACAGATGGAAGACTGCTCAGTCTGTGAGCTCTACTAGGCATAAAATGTGGAAAAAACACGAGGGTTTTGAGTGACTTTACTCTGAGCAATGGTGGAAGAAAGAAGATTAGAAAGAGGTTCACAGAGCTTCATAGTGAAAACCTTGTTCTCTAGAAGACTTTAAAAACTAGAAAGTGCAATGATGAGTCAGAGGGTCTAAGTTTTGGTGTGTCAAGCTCTATTTCCTATTTCGTACCGGTTTATTAGCATAAACAGGAAGTTTAGGATGCTATGTTGGTTTTTAGAATGCCATGTTGCATATGTACATATTAGCACATAATTCTCGGTCACACAACCTCAAGACTATACATGACTTTTAGCCTAATTAACTAGTCTTAAGAATTCTCATATGTGCGGTCTTCCTTTGGATATAAAAAATGGACCAGGATCTAGATGAGTCTTCTGTTCTTGAGTTTTGATGTTTCCTCTTCTGTGCCTATTAGACAGCTGTCAGTAGAAATGGTTTTGATATTTGTATTACTTTTTGGAATTTCTTTAGCTCTGCTTTTGAGAAAACTCATGAAATTTAAGTGAATCTGTGGAAGCATACATTATAAAGAAGTAAAGTATAAAAAGGCATGTCTGGAGTTCTAGGCTAAGCTAATTTCATTCAAATCACACAGACCATGAATTAGTATCAGCATATGCTCCATATACATGATATAGAATATGATGAATTTTCTATGTCACAAACTTCCAACTAATTCAGCTGCATCAATATATCTCTACAATAAAATGAATAATAAACAGCATACACAAATTTAGGATTTAATAACCTTAAATTAATATATTAATTAATTATTCAGGTCTCTTTAAAATCAGAATTATATTTTAAATATAATGGGTGGGGGGTTATTTGTTTTGGTTTGGTTTAGTTTGGTTTAGGTTTTTTTCCTTTTTTTTTCCTGTTGCTCTTTCAGATGCAGGATAAAACACAACATCTCCTTGGGCAGAAGGCTGGAAACTGATTGTAGGAAAACAAAAATATAAGTAATCTAAAACTGATTTCAGAGTGAAAACCAGTAATAACTCTCGCTGTGAAAACAACACATTTCTCCCTTAACAATGCTAAGTGGTCTTTAACAATTCCTGCTGAGCAAGAAACCAATGATGTATTTTGATTTCCCCATATTTCCTTAACTGATTGGATAGATACATCTCTATTTGCTGTATGAGGTTGTTCTTTAATTTTTACAGTAACTGTGATCTCAAATTTTGGTTCTGAATTGAACTCTCGGTCAAATTTCAATGCCATGTGTTTCATAAATTACATTTGTAGCTGTTAGCCTCAGCAGCTTGCCTCTCAGCAGTTGTGGAGCTGTGCAGTTTTAAGAATGTAATAAAAGCCACCCACAAAAACTGTAGATGGTGTTTCCAGTAAAAGCATTTTCAAAGAACTCTGGCCCAGCTACTGGATTTTACTGGAGTGAAATGCACTTTTACTCTTTTTACTAATACTTTCCCTTCCTGGCACATATGACACCAAGATATTTATAGTTACTCTTCATTTCTTCTCTTCAAATGTTATTTCACTGTGTTAAGAGAACAATCTCAGTCATCTCTCTATATTTATGTATATCTTTAGTACTTAAGGTTTGTATAATTATAATTTCACTCTGCAAAGCAGTGATTTTAAGATTAAAATAATTTACTGAAACAATACATAGGCCATCAGATACATTTTGATGGAGCTTCTTTCACCACATGTTTGTGAAGATATTCACCCATTAAATTATGTAATATTACACTTTCTATAGCATCTTAAAAGCCAGTTATAGGGGAAAGAGAGCAGCAACCATGGATCTGCCTTGCAGAACTGTTTTCTCTCTATATCAGCACATAACCACAAAGCTCTGTGAAGGTTCATCTTATGCCTTTTCAAAGGCATAATCATTTGTTTTCCTGCCCAGCTACAGCCAATATTCTATTATGGCTGTAACTTTACTAGAATGCTCCTCAATTTCACAACAATATACTCCAACATTTAATCAGATTTTTGTTATGCTTTATGAACACCATGGTACCATGCAGAAAGACCAATTCTAATAAATTAATTTTCCCTTTTAGTGAGTTTATTCAAATATTTATATAAATCCTCTGCTATATAGGTGTCCACTGAGACTTTGGATTAAACCCGCATGAAAAACTGTGGATATCTGACCATGGCCATTGCCCCCATCTTCTGACTGCTTATCAACTTCATTTTTCTTACTATTTAGTTTTAGCCTGGTATTCAGATCCTCATTCAGACTAAATCAACTGTGGAAGTCAAAGAGGAGCACTCTTGCCTGCAAATTCTCCTTTAGGGCCACTTTAGGCTTCTATCAATCATCTTTAACTTCAGATAATCTTTCTTCAATTATATGTTACCTCATGACATGAAAGGAATTCATGTGCAACAGTATCATCTCTGAAGGTCCAAGACATTGCAGAACTGATATATTGCACTGCTGTTTTATGTATGCTGCTACTTTCAAGCACATTTATTATACCTAAGAAATAATAGTGTTTGGTTTTTTATATATTGCTTCTTAGTAATTGTATGTTCATATCAAAGCTTGATCAAACTTCTCCATACCCCAAAAGAAAGTGGAAGAGCTAATAAACTTCTGAAACCAGCTAGTGTGAAGTTGGTTAATATATGCACCGATATTCACATCAAGTGTAACAAGACCATGTATCCTCTCTTCCACGGTTGTAATTTTAAAGTGTTAATCCTTGTACAACTGATCTTTTCCAAGAGCCAAACTCTCTGAAAAACTCAGCCAGTTAAAAAATAATGACCCATCATGTTTTGAACTAATACTACAGATCTGTGCAAAAAAGAATTTTCTCAGAGTTTCTGCTCCTTTGCCTAGATTATAAAACAGGAGTGCTGGAAGACTCCCACAGAGAACAGACTGAAAATCAACACTAGACCTGGCACCACTATGTTGCTATGATCCCAGAGAAGAGGCAGGTAGAAATCTGGGAGAGGAATGCCTTCTTTAATCTTCCTAATGAACCTCTTCTTCTATGAATGTGCTACGTTATACCCCATACACTATTTAAAACTTGGGTTATCTAATAGCCCCTTAAATTCCATTAGTATGCTGCTAAAAGGAGGTTGAAGATTTCACCAGTGTCAGTTAACTGGCAGCTATTGCATTAATGTCCACTGTCAGTGTGCTTTTATCAAAACTGCACACAGTGAAGTCACTAACTTGGCCTTTAAAGATTCTGAAGGGATGTTGTCTTTCTAAGTGTACTGACCTCAGTAGAAGTGACAGATAGTGTGGTGTTTCTAAGGGTAGTCCCTTCTTTTTCAGAGCTGAGTAATATGTAGACCACAGGCATTATAGACCATATATTCTACAGAATTGTGATGTTCCAGTTTTTCATATCTCTGATAAGAGAAGAAAAAAAGATCATACACTTTTTGTATGGTCTTTGTCAGTTAATCTCAATGGGATTATCTGTCTTCAACAACTGATTTAGCTTGTTTGCCTTCTTTTTGGTTTTACACTCATATTTCTCATGACCTCTGTTTACAAATGCTTGAAAATCCCTTGATGTCTGGACAAATGAATAAAAATTAACCTTACTCCTGAATGCAAGTATAGCAAGCTATACTTATTTATGTACCATAGCTAATTGGCAAATAAT